GAAAGAGCTTAGAAGGTGTGTGTCCTTTTCTCCCGTGCTGTGCCTGTGGAAGACATTGCTACTTGATCACTGCACTCTTTTTCTGCAAAGCCCAGACTCATTCTCACCACAGTACTCCAGGCAGCTACTGCCAGTTGATTAAGAGTTGACATAGGAAATAAAACTTATTTGATATCAAGCATCTAAAATGTCTGGCCACATGAGCTCTCTTGGATAAATGTTTTGTTTTTTTAATTTAACTTTATTATTATTTTTAAATTTGAGATAACATTGATTTATAACATTATATAAGTTTCATATGTACATTATATTTCTACTTCTCTATTATTTAGTTTTTAATTAAATACTATATTCTCTTTTTAAAATTTATTTTATTGAAGTATAGTTGATTTACAATGTTGTGTTCATTTCTGCTGTACAGCAAGGTGATTCAGTTATATATATATACATTCTTTTTCATATTCTTTTCCATTGTGGTTTATCACAGGATATTGACTATAGTTCCCTGTGCTCTACAGTAGGACCTTGTTGTTTATTCTCTATATAATAGTTTGCATCTGCTAATCCCAAACTTCCAAATATTCTCTTTTTAAAAAAAAACTTCAAAATCATTCTAAGAAAGGCTAAGTCCTCTTGACCGTACCATCCCCAAATCCTGGCCCCTCTCGGGTTGTGGTTGGATGGTTTCAGGCCTTGTATTTCCTCTCTGGCCCCTCCTGGCACAGATGCTGTCTTAATAGCCAGCGTCCCCCCTCACGGTGGCCAGTCTCCAGGCACTTGGCAAATTGCGGAGCGCGGGAGGGGAGGGGCCCATCTGAGTGCAGGTGTTCTGTGCGCCCTCCGCCCCCTCCAGGAGCCTGAACGAACTGCGTGTGTTGCTTCTGGAGGCCAATCGCCACTCCCCGGGGCCTGAGAGGGACCTGAGCCGCGAGGTCCACAAGGCCGAGTGGCGGATCAAGGAGCAGAAACTCAAGGATGACATCCGGGGCCTGCGGGAACAGCTGACCAGGCTGGTACGTGGGGAAGGGGGCGGCCTGGGGATAGCAGACACCAGGGAGGGGCTGGGGCTATCTGCTGTCAGCCATGGAGACTGGTGACCTCCTGGAGCCACCCCAGGGATAGCCAAGTCACAGGGAGCGTTCAAAATCCCCTAGAACCACAGGCAGGGTCAGTGAGGTACCTGGTGGAGGGGCCGTGGGCAGCCCCTTTTGTAGATATTGTGGCCAGCTGTGTGTCCGTCTGGGTGATGCAGTGCAGAGGAAGACTTCCTAAGAATCTCACCAGTCCAGAGGTGGGATGGGCTACCGACAGGTGGTGAGCTCACCATCCAGAGAAGTATTCAACCAGAAACCAGCTCCTTGTTCAGGGTCCAACAGTGGCGATTCATGCATCCATCTCAGGAAGGAGAGGGGAACAGGGGCCTGACTGAGCAGAGTCTCCAGAGGTGGGGGTGGGGTAGGCGAGTGATGCTGGTAGCACAGGATGGAACCATCCCACTCCATCCCCCTGTGGTCAGCCTTTAGGACGAGCCGGTGGCCGGTTCCTGGGCCTGGTCAACTCCAGAGCGTTGACAAGATAGGGTCTGGGAGGACAGGACTGCTGAGGGGAAGCTGCTCCAAAGCCCCTCGCTGCCCTCCCACCCAGCCACACAGGCTCAGCCACGCTGGAGGAGATGGAAGGAGAAGTGGGGCCTGCAGCCATGGAAGCAGCCCTGGGCCTACAGGGTTAAGGGAGAAGGGTATCACTCTGGCTGCACCCAACTGTGTGTGGGGACCACCGGGCCCAGCCGCCCTGTGGCCTTTCAGTCCTGGCAGGTCTGGCCAGTAGGGCGTTGGTTACAGAGCCCTGCGTGGTCCTCGTGGTGCTGTGAGCCTGGGCGTAACTCAGAAGCCAAGGCCCCGAGGCTGGTGTGGATTTGGGAGCTCTGATTCCAAGGCTTTCCCAAGCCGCGTGGAGGGGGCAGAGCCGCACTGACTGTCTCCATGGGCCACAAGCTGGTGAAATTTACATGTGACTGGCTGCCCCTTACACTAGGAGAGCCTCTCCCATATCCCCCTTCACTGTCCGCAGTGCCACGGAGCTGCCCCTCTGGGAGAACTAGGGACGGGCTTGGTGGTTAGAAAACCTCCTGAACGAGGAAGGTTTGGGTGGAGATGGAGGTTTGGGCAGAGGGTCAGAGCAGAGCAGAAGGACCCTGGAAGCACCGGCCCAGGGAGGGCAGTGCAGGGAAGCTTCGTGTGGGAGTGAGGAGGCTGGTCTGCCCACAAGGCAGGTGCATCTCCAGGTACCACGGTGGGCGGGGTCAGCTGCTGAGCACTTGGAAGGGAAGGGAAGGCATGTCCTGTTGGGGCAGGGGAGGGTTCTGAGAGGTTCGGGGATGAGGCTGTAGGTCTAGAGGTGAAGAGGAGGGACCCACATAAACAGTGTGGAGGGAGGCGGGGGGGTGCAAGAAGGAAAGAGGGGGAGGAGGGGTCCTGGGTTTCGGGACCTGAAGAATGTGGAGCATCTGGCAGAGCCCGGGAGTTCAGGGTGGGGTCCAAGGAAGATGCTTCAGAGAGGACCCTTAGGTGAGGGAGGGAGGCCTGAGGGGCATCCTGGTGATTCTCAGGCCTGACCCAGAGATGAGGTGGGACAGATGAGTTTCCGGCCTAAAGGAGAGACCACCCTCCTGCAACATGTACACGCGTGCACACGC